GTCTTTAGACGCGTGTTCCCATACCAAAATCTTTACATACTTTGGGATTCACCTCATCAGACTGAAATTGTTCTTGGCATGATTTCGAATGAGATGTTTGTCTCTTTTCTCCCATATTCTCCTGTTACTCTTTCGCATTCATCGCTTGCATTCACTTTTTAGGTTTGTGATCATGCTCTTCAAAAATAAATGATAATTGTACTGTTCAAACTACTTATGATGGACTAATACGAATGATTGTACCAGAAGAAGGAGACTGGTCAAACGAGGGAAAGGCGAATACGAATAAGCAACCAGCGGAGAAACGGCTTGAGAATACAGACTTTCAAGATAATTTCAATTTTTTTTTAAAACAAGTGGTTTCCAGATGAGATCTCCGTTTATTGTATCGCATGAAGGCTTGCGGTAAAACCACATTCAAGAGGACAGGGATTAAATGTGGCAGAGACCTCCAAAGCACTTGGTGTCAAATATATTTCACCCAAAAGGGGCTCCAAGACAGTTGGGGTAATAAAATCCAACCTTCTTTAGGATATGGGTGCACCACCCGGAGCACAGCAACTGCTCCTAATAACTTGAATTTCCTTTCGGTCAGATCCTGGCATAATGAGTTGGATAACGCTTGAGGTTTTGGGTAACACAAGCATGACTTAAGCGCACGAAGTTTATCACTATTCAGGTATAAGTCAGTCTTCAAAGTCACAACCAAGTATCCTGTGGTGTTCCTTGATCAGCTTCTTTCAGACGTCCTAAAAATGCTACGGCGAGTTTCCGCGGAACCCTCACCATCTGCTTGTTGATCCGCCATTTCGGACAGTGTTGAGGACAGGTCACTCAGGACATTTACAGAATGTCTCCTTGGCCCATCCAGCGATACGTTCTCGCCAATGAAGTTTCGATACCTAGGTATCCTGTAGCTGTTTAGGAGCGGTATCCCAGGCTTTTGTAGCATCACCGTACATGTTTTATTATGAATCTATATTCATAAGTGCCAATCACAAGTCGATTTGACACGCACAGCGATGTGGCACTTCGGCAACTTAAAGGTCCAACAAACCGTCATCCACCTCTGTGTATACGGTACGCATCTCACTCAAAACGGCCTCCTGTGATGTGTCTGTCATCACTGCATTCCTTGAGACCCGATAGTGTACGAGATTTTACATGATTTGTCAAACCCTAGCTTCAGTGATCGTATTCAACTGGTCACTCAAGGCTTTATTTGCCTGTTCGAAACGGTGACGCGGACTAATGAATGCATAATCTGTCAAGTACCCAAGGTCAAAAATTCAGTTGGCGGTTTCGAAACGGTCCTTGTTATCATATCTAAGCAAGGATTGTTCTGGTTCACCCTCCAAATTGATCACTAGCCAAATGATGATTTTAGCAACGGCGTCATGGCAGAGACTGCAACCCAATCAATTGTTATATAGTACAGTTCCGAAGTAGCCGGAATTCGTGACACGCGCGGTGGACTCATCTGATGCGGAACTAGAACATGGTGACCCGGAGTAATTACTTGGGACCGGATTAGTAAGATAATCCTCTGAAAATAAACCTTTACCTCACTCTACGGTAGCCCACAGGTATGGCCGACTGCGCAACCTATTCGATTACAGGACAGTTCCGAAGGATGGATATATTTTAATTGGTTGAATTCGCCGATGGCTATCCCATCCTATGGACAAAAAGTACCATTATTACGTGAGGATGGCGCTTCAGAGAGAACATTGACAGGATCGGACGAAATCCTCTTGACCGTGTTCATTTCGAAAACAGTGGCCAATGTATCCAAGGCTTCTTACCCCCTCGGGCTGTATCGACCTTGTTCTGTTTCATGCAAACCTAACGGCACAATACGAACCGAGTGCGAGCATTAGCACATACGGAGTGACAGTGACTGATTCAGTTGGACGATTTCTGTGAGGCCCGTTTATTTCACCCTTACTTTATGCACCCATAACAATCCTCTGCAGACAAACTGGTGAAATTAGACGAACGTGAAACGTGCAACACTTCTGATATTTTTACACCCACACTGCAGTAAAAAATTGTACCGCTCGATAATGTAACATGATTTAACTCAGCCGCTGATTAGCGGTGTGTTGAACAACCTGGTTTGTCACTGGCATACCTTAAAGCTACGGAATTTATGCTTTTCTCTCGTGTCAAGTTGCTAAACCGTCCTGGAAACTACCTTCACGCTAAGTTCAAATACGAACTAGTTCACAGAAATTCAATGCACTTACAATTTAACCTCCATCTCTGGTAGCGATGCAGCAAGTACAAACCTTCAGTGGAAAAACGGCCAGCAGCTCCTTGCGTCCATAATGACTACTTTTCGATGCCGAGCAGCGGCGAAGCCTAAACCTGGGGAGGATCACGACTATTTAGAAAAACCGTTCGCTGGAAAGCTAGATTTCACCATCCAAGTAAGATCCTCTGCGCAAGCTCCCAAACTTTCTTCTTATCGTGACCATTTTTGTTAACCATCAGGCTACAGGCAGCCTGGTAATGCGCCACTTGTCATTGTTCCAGGTTCTCATTTCTTGATAGCAAACAAATAACAGTTTGGCGGATTCCAATCCCGCCAGATCTTGAGACCTACAGGTACGTTGTATAAAAATGCTCACTTTGATCCATCAACTAGGTTGTTTGTCGTTGCATTCAGCTGTTCAGACATAGAACTTGGTAGAAATTCTTAAAGGTTCCGCGATTATGCTGTGGCTTGAATAGGCGCCTAGATATCGTATTGTTGCGCAGTGTCGATAGCATTAAGATGATCAAATCACAAAAACACTTGTAATGGTTGGTCGCTGTTGTATGACATTACCATGCACGGCGAATCCACTGAGTAACGTTGTCCATAATGGACAGTAAGTTGCTGGCTTCGCACTGATTTGTACCAGTAGGACCCGAATGCTCGAGGCTGTCGGTTGGTGCAGCTCTGTCAAGCCTTCTGTATGAATGCTTGCAATACGACACAACCACCCCACCTACAATTCTATTTGACTGAAGTCCTCAGCGCTGAGGAAATTCGGAGCGGATGGTCGGAAAAAGCATTCGAGTTTGAGCAATTGTAATGGGTTGAACACATCAGAGTGCAATCCCTTTCAACTTCAGACGGGAAAAACAGACGCATAACTCGCCCTCAGTGGTCTGGATTGGCATTTGATCCTCGGGTTTCATGAAGTGCCAATCAAAGCAATTAGATAACGGTGGGTTTACCTCGGACATCAGCTTTGATATTTGCAACATAATTCTTGTTGTTAGCCAGTGTGGTGCTCGTAACATTTTGTTTCACTGTCGAGAATCCAGATTGGAAACGAATGGGTTAAACTACCCCCCCCCCCCAGGTCCTTGAGGTTGCAAGCCTGACATGTCGTGACTAGCCTAATGATCGCACACCGACTAATACTGTGTCGTAGCTGGGTACTTGATCTGAACACTGCGATTAAGAATATTAGTCGTCCTCTTAACCAGGCTTCGGTATATACGGTATTCACTGTCGAGAATCCAGATTGGAAACGAATGGGTTAAACTAGCACCCCCCCCAGGTCCTTGAGGTTGCAAGCCTGACATGTCGTGACTAGCCTAATGATCGCACCACCGACTAAACTGTGTCGTAGCTGGGTACTTGATCTGAACACTGCGATTAAGAATATTAGTCGTCCTCTTAACCAGGCTTCGGTATATACGGTATCCCAACGATCACGTGACGGAAAGTGGACTCATACCTAACTTGATGTCATTCGCCAGAATGCTCTGTGCATTGCGTGCCGAAGGATATATAAACGGTACTCTACAACCGATGACCCCATCAATTGATCTCCATTTGTATCACTCACTGGTTTGGATATCAGTTAAGCACTACTAACTAATGCCGATGCAGTGCCATTCAAAATGACGAAGATGTAAATAACGTGCCGCCGTACTTTACCTTCCAATCACTGAGTGATTCGAAAGGGAGGATTTACGTTCCCAAGTAATCGCATTTTCAGTTCGTTGACCTCGTTAGATGTCTTTTCACACGTGCTAAAGTTTGAAACTATTTTCAACTTGAAGCTCACCCTCTCTGTCAAAAAAATATTTATCCTTGGTGCATGCAGAAGACTTAGCTTCTTTCATGAATATCATATATTCGTGTTTTACACACGCTTTCGGCCAAAGGGTGGACGAAGTATTCGCACCTTGTAAATCTGGTTTGAAATATTTACGCAGAAATTATCACCAAAATACATCGTAAGCGGACCTCCATTTCACTTCGAATTACAAAACGACTTCCCTTTATAATCATACCATTCAAATCATTCATTACTAACAGTCAACACAGTCACAGGCCACACTACATGAACGGCCTCCTTAGACTAAGCGATCATCGAGAGATCTGGGTTGGATTTACTTTCCAACTTCGACGAGAGACTCATTGACACATTCATATGAGCAGGAAAATTCTGAAGAATAAGAAATACACGAGAGTCCTCCGTCAAGGAACGCACTATTTTCTTCTTGTTTCAATGCCAAAATTTCCGCCAAATTAATCAGTTGCCCCAGCTGTACATGTATGATTCTTACGCACTGTCGATGACTTTTGTATATAAGAAGAAACTCCGTGAAAAGGCTTCCACGACACAGATAGGAAAACACCGATCTGCATGATGTATCTATATTGGACCTGGTCTTCTGAATTGATCAACAGAAGAAAAGTATGAAATTTCAGTTCACCAATGAACAGGATCAGACTCGCGTGGGTACAATGCGATGTCTGGTCTGTAGGGTTCATCAACTTTGAAAAGTATATGGGAATGTAGTATTGACAAAATACGTGGCCTGGACAAGATAGCTAAATTAACAGAATAATAATAAAGGCAAAGAGTTTTCATTGTCATCAGCATCTTTACCGGCTTGGGTGTTGGTTGCGGATACTGTTGATACTCATGAGTCAGGTCCTTTGTGTGAAATTAAGGTGGAATGGCCTATCAAGTTGAACGAAGGGATCACTTTTGTGAACGAGGCATAAAGTGGCGCCAGATTTGATCAGCCATGTGCACCTGATTCTGAGTAATACATAGTAATAGCTGAGCATTGTACTTATCCATATCCTGATGTAGAGACATTAAATATCGTACAGTGGCTTCGAAGGTTACGGGAGAGGGGTCCAACGAGGGATTATCTGGAGCAGCATTATCCGGTGACTCATGGGGCACGATGTTGATTGGGGGATTTGATGAAAGAACAGAAGAAGGTTCGTTTGTAGTCGTTTTATCTATTAATTTCGGTGAACGGCTGAACCGTTTGGTATCAGTCCGATATTCTGGAATCGAGTCACAATCTGAGTCGGACCAAAAGAGATCTAATTGAGCATAGTTCAATTCAAACTGTCCGGTCGACTTTTTCAAATTTGATGTACACGGAACGCATTCGGACAGTTCACAGCAAGACTTACTGCAACATCCACGTGAGAGACCTGCGACAGGGGACCGTGGGTGCACAAGGTCAGAGCCAGGTGATAAAGTAGCATTCCTGGGAGGAACCGGGGGTGGTTTTCGAGGGGTATCTTGCAACGTTCCACAAGACTGTGAAGCCCAAGACTGTTCAGTGGACTTTCCTTCTACGTCCACCAAACTCAAGCAGGAGTCTGCGGCAGTTTGGGGCGAGCTAAACTCAGATGGCTTATACGGTTCAACAATAACATCTTGCACGCTTTTCACCTCTAGCCGGCAAAATGGACAGGTCTGGTTTAAGCCTGTGGACTGGAAGGTACTAAGACAATCTCGGCAAATTAAGTGACCACAAGGCTCCAGTTGTACATTCTTATCATTTTCATCACATATTTTACACAATTCGAAAGTGGATCCAATTTCACAATAGACCTGGTACTGTTCTCTGGTCACACGAAGACGGACTTGGGGAAGAGAATGAATTAGGTGGAGCAGAAGATTAGGCGGGCTCTTTTTCCCGTTGGGATAACGGTAAAAACCTTCACGCTCACCATCAAGAAGCGCTTGTGCGAGCGGTTTGTTCCGTACGAGTGTTTGAAAAATATGCAGATCTTCCGCTACGTAACCGATTGCCCACTGACCAAGCTTGGTGCAAGACAATCTAAATACGTAAGATCCAGGTCCAGGGTATTTTCGAAATGGTTCCAGGACCGTTTTCACCTCATTATAGGTCATAAATGCCATGTAGCCTGGATGAAGAATCGTCAGTACCCTCCAAGACTGCAAAACGTTGCTCCATGGTTGAAACAGTCGTGCAAACACATCAAATTCAAAAATCGAAACATGGTTATTACATGTCAGATCAATAGTCGAATGCAGGGCGTCAATATGGTCTCTAAGGTCAAGAGGAAAAGTTTTCCTAAAAGCGGATTCAAAGGCCGACCAATGGATAATCGAGTCGGTGCCAAAATTATCCAACCACCATTTGGCAGCATCTGGTTTGGTTATTCGGTAGGTGTTGCAGAACTTGTTGTCAGGGAATAAGGCTTCCAGGTCACGTTGCATGTGAGAAAAGACTAATGCTAGCTTGACGAGCTGGGAACGTGGAGTGGACTGGTCGACGAAAATCGATTCCTTGGCTTCCTTGAATAAACGCACCATTTGTTTGCTTTTGAAAATCACCGAGTGAATGAAAATTCGAAAGTACCTAATGTGGGATAAGGTTGTATAGTCATCCTGGTAACAGCTGACAATATGTTGTAGTTTTTCGTATATGTCCGGGATGATGTCGAGAAGGCACGGCGTGCTGGCTCTTAGGTTCAAACGAGGGTTCAAACACAAGTACACAATACGGTCCAACCACTTGTAGCAAGAACCGATGGTCTTCTTCTGTAAATCCAGAATGTCGCCCTCCTCGTCTAGTATTGCGGAATAATCGAATGCAGAAAGCGGATGTGGCAGCCGGTTCATATGGGGAAAACAGTTCTTCCAATTAGTTGTCATCCCACTCGCCATTGCTTTACAGAGCTGAAAGGCGTTAGGTGAGCCCCAAGTTGGATTGGTAACAGACTGTTTGGCAGAGTGCTGGCAAATTGATCAAGGACTGGAAAACAAAAAAATCATATATAGGAATTGGGTCGCTGAAACTGGCCTGCAATATGGACGCACCGCTATCTTGTTACGCTTTGATAGCATAGCGACCACGCATGAGAATGACCTCGATCGCTACATGCAGTAAAATAGTGAGGATTGGACTTATTTTAAAACAGATTTATAAGGCGTGTTGGTATGCTCTTAACGTTTCGGTAATTTAAGTGGGTAATTATTAGGATCAAGTGAAGACTAGCAAACCTAGGCTGGCCATTGTGGGCCACAACTTGTCCAACTGTGGTCTTCAGGTGAAAGTGTTCGTTGGCGTATGCATCAGATGTCGTGGCTAGTAACAGATAACGAAGTTAACCAAACTACTTTGTAGAACCACAAGCTTCTCGGATGGCTCGGACCCCATGTCAAAATTGTTCACTAGTGATGCTTGTTTGAATAATTGAATGGTTTCGGCGACCAGGAGCCACTCTGATCAAGGATGCTTAGCCGAAGAAAGAAAAACTAAGACCACCTACACGTTTGTTCCGGATTTGTAGTTGTCCAGTATTGATTAGTTGGGACTCTGTGGTTGTAAGATTTTGATGGTGGCTCAGCATTACATACAAAAGTGGATCAGAGGGACCCGCAAAAGTAATGAGCATGTAAAAAAAAAATACGGAAACCCGAATGGCATTTCAGGTTGAGATGCACATTAACCTAACAGTTAGTGAGGAGGGAGATGGCCCAGTGGTTAGAGCGCGAATCTACTGACCAGGTCCTTGGTTCGAACCCGGCTTCTGCTTCTCCAATTCCCCTTTCTAGGCTTGGGCAATCCGACAGTATCCCAGTCCTCGTGCTTCCTTTTGGGTGTTACAGCTGAACGACTTTTCTTGAGAAAATTAGTGAGTTAGAAATTGTAAGCTGAGAACACTGACAGAGTTACAGAGACGAATTCTTCCAAGTGAGAAAGAAGCAAACGGTTTCGTTCTGCAGCGTGAAAGTGAAACATGATATGGCCGGTTTGAATCAAACAACCGGGTAGTGCGACTAAATACTGGGGAATATTGTTGGTAAGACCAAGCAAGGTGAGTGACTAAGAATAAAGAACGACAGTGAGTCTACTGGGGAAAAGAATAATGTGCAGAGAACGGTGAGGCGAGATGTATACTTGGACACAGTGAGCGCAATTGCAGTCGATCTGCCTTGTATAAAAATCCTAGCAAAGTCGGAGTTCTGTGATAGCAGTGATGATATTAAATAATACAAACGATAACACCAGTTAATAATAATCGTTCGACTGTAACATCCTTTCGGTACCTAACTGCCATGAGACCCGGAGGCACGGAGACTGAGGTACTGTCAACAGCAGCCGAGGTGCAGAGGTTGGGATCGAAGCATGGAACTTCTGGCTAGTGAATTCGCGCTTTAACCACCGAGCTACCTCCAGCTTAGTCACGTGATCACATGAGACCCGGAGGCACGGAGACTGAGGTACTGTCAACAGCAGCCGAGGTGCAGAGGTTGGGATCGAAGCATGGAACTTCTGGCTAGTGAATTCGCGCTTTAACCACCGAGCTACCTCCAGCTTAGTCACGTGATCACTTGTGAACGGTTACCGCATAATCGGCAAAGGGCGGTACGTTGCGAGCTGTAGGACAAAGAATGACGGAAAATAGTAAGAACATGGGGAGAAACAGACGATAAGCCAATGATGTGAACAAGGAGCAGAGTGGGAAGACAGTGAACATTGAGGAACTCCTGTTCTGACGTTCCGACTCTGAGACGCAATCCGGCGAAGTGAGCTTGAAACCTTCAGTCCAATTGTGCAGACATGTCTGAGATGAATCTCATGCAAAACGCGGTCGATGGCTATCGAATTATTGTCAGAAACTTATTCCGTCTCATCAAATGAGTCCAGACACCAGACACGGACGAACAAGTCGCTAATGGAGTAACAGTGTCAAACTCTAGAATGGCGTTGCGTTCAAGAGTGCACAAAATGTGTCGGGAAGAAATGGCCTCCGGACGATACTTATTGGGGAGAGGTAGGTGACCGTATTTGGCAACAGGCAGGACAGAACCTTTCCGGGCGACGAGAAACGCTTGAAGAAATCGAAATACAGTAGCTTTCGCATGATCGGTGCAGAATATACGTGGGTGGGTGCCATCAAGGTTAGGTGCAGTGGTGTAGAAACCTAACAGAGCGGCCAGCACGGAAAATAGTGGAGGACGAATAAATGAAGTAGGATAAGCGAGAGAGAAGCTTGAGGAGCTAAAAGGGAAATTGCTCTAACAAAAAAATGGGCAGAAATTTTCATTCTCTTGTTGGACGTAGTGAGGGTCGTCATTAGAACCCAATAAGGGAGAGAAACAAGACCGCTTTGTCTCTCGACTAGCGACCATAACCGATTCTGCAGATTACAGCAGTACACGAGCAACGGGTGTGCGGCAGGAAGGATCGAGGCCTCTGCTGTCGTCGAGTCGTACTGCATTCTCAAGAGCATAATTATTTGTAGGAGACTCGCACAGGGTTGGAGTCTTGTCTAAGATCCAGTACTTGGGTGTAGTTGACTGCATCGTGCCACAAGCAGAGAGTCAGTCATTTCGGAGGGTTGCAGGTAGTTTCCGAAAACGAAGTGGTTTTGGTCTGGAATGCCACTGTTCATCCCAAGAGGGTTACGAAAAATCGCGGTGGAGCTGAACCCGCAAAACCAATACATCAAACGAGCAATCCCGGACCAACTGCTGTTAGAACTGGCCTAAAAGCACACCCTCCGATCAACCAAAGGTTTACCGTGACCGCCGGTGCTTCATTCAATACATTCGATACATACCCAGAGTCCGGTGCTGCCAAAAAGGTACCTGTTTTGCGCACTCCCATTAGAAGTAGGGCAGTAATCCGTTACTCCCTATGCCCTCTGGTTAGAACAGTCCCTCGGACCAACTTTAGAACTGGCCTAAAAGCACACCCTCCGATCAACCAAAGGTTTACCGTGACCGCCGGTGCTTCATTCAATACATTCGATACATACCCAGAGTCCGGTGCTGCCAAAAAGGTACCTGTTTTGCGCACTCCCATTAGAAGTAGGGCAGTAATCCGTTACTCCCTATGCCCTCTGGTTAGAACAGTCCCTTGCAGCCGAACAAATCAGGCTGAGTCATACAGTCCGGGAAGGGTCACCGAAAAAACCCTACGTCCTCCCACTACCTTGTGGGTCAGAATTTTGGGTCAAAGGATCAACTAAACCCACTTCCTCGGCCTGGGCAAACTGGAAGAATTATTTAACCGCAAACTTCTTCGTCCACTAATGTCCATCCCAAACCCCTCTTCATTACATAAGCAAAAGTCGCTTGGTCGTTTGATTGTCAGTTATCTGAGCGATGTGCCTTGGGCACCCTACTGTTTATTAACGATAAGCAAAATAACACCTTGCTACGTCCACAGGATCCTTTCCTTTGTACATGGGAGCTTTCAACGTCCGTACAAATTGGCAGATTGGTAATGCTCGCAGAGACCTTCCAGGCTCTTAAAAGCAGTGTATACTCTGAAACAAGCATAAAAGACCCGACCGTGGTTATGCATCTCAAAACGCCACAGACGAACTCAGCGCTTTCACGTTTCCCCCACCCCCCGGTGTCCGGTAATCCAGAAGCCGTGACTCACGGTGCATATGGCGTGGGAGTTGCACTCGGAACCAGAGCTTAGCGCACTTTATTTGGGTGGATTCCAGTGAATAGTCACCTTTGGGATATTCGGTTGTCAAGATCAATCAAACGCAATGCCTCTCGACAAAAAGCGGTACCCATTTGTGGTGTCGATATACGCAGCTTTGACGCTGAGGGATGACTTCTACCCAGAGTTGTCCGAGCTCATTTTTTAAGCATGGGGCACTGATCCTTGCGGGTGATATGATGCCAAAGTCGGTCACCTGAGCTCTCGCGGAATCACATCTTGGAATTCGATTCCTAATCGAAACTAACCGCACAGACAACGAACAGCGAGCGACTCCTAAAGTTGTGTTGATCATCAACTGTTTTCGGCCAGTACGAACTTTCAGCATAAACGCTCACATCGCGTAACCTGGAGGCCACCAACTGCAAACCAACTGTGGACCTAAATCTACCAAGTGACCATCAGCCACTAGTGAAGAGCTACAAATGAAGACTGCTGGGACACAACTTGATTCTGAGCACGCCAAAGTGCGAGCATGACTGACAGTTCGTTTTCCTTCAGGACATCACAAGTAAGCTTACATCAGCGTTACTAATCTGATGTTCCCATCATATCCGACCAATTCTCCGGATACCGATGGTCAATGACATCGTTTGCATGTCCTTTGGGCGTAGATGCCACGTCTATGACCCATAAAGCAGTATTGTCCGCACTAACGCAGGGTAAACTCTGCCCTTGACAGGTAAACTGAGGTGTCATTGGTGTCGGAGCTTGAAAAAAGCTGGCCTGGCTTTCCCGATCCGAGAAGTAATCTCACCTCAAACCAGTTCATGGAATTTATACAACAACAATAAGCAAACAGATTTATCTACGTCGACCGGCTCGATTGCAGGCATGAGGTTTGGGTTTGCTCCCACCGAGTTTTGTAGCAGCACTTTACACGTAGCAGGTGTGAAGCGTATGCCAAACCGTGGGTTAGATATACTTAGTTTATCTGAAATGGTGTGTATTTCTGAGGGAGATCTGAACCAAGGAGAGCAATATCCTCCACATAGCGTGTCTCCAAGCGAACGTCGCGGGAGCTTTTCGACCCGCGAAGTTTCGTACGCAGGCAGAGAAATTTCAAGCAGCACATCAATGAAGACGTCGAAGAGGAAAGGCAAGAGAGCAGCTTTGGCATATATTGATGGAAATGGTGAATTCGGACGGAGGCTTTGCGTACAGTCGTACGCGTCCACAGCAGTCCGCCTACAAAGCC